GGGGGGGAATTAAAATGTTCCCCTACAGGGAAACCAGTGGTGTTATTGCCGGTGAAATTGTTATGGTTATTAACGTAGGCGGAATTTATTACACGTTTCACCAATGTAATGGCCTTTGTTGCAAAAAGTGCATGATATAAGGTAAATTACATTAGTAGAATCACAATAGAGGTGGGGGGGGGGTGACAGTTTATAGTCAGATGACGTGCTGTTAAGTTAAGTATTATTGAGCTGTTTGTGTTAATATAATAACAATACATTATCAGAATTTTCACAAGTAGCTAGGTAAATCAATACTACGAATATACCTTTCATCTTTACACCATGGTGTTTGCTAGATTTTTTTTTTTTTTTTTTTTTAGAGATATTTAAAATAATTTGTAAATATTTTTGTGATTTCTTTTAAATGGTTCCTGGGCCAGGTTAGTGTCTGCGCACATCATGGGCAATAAAGTTCCAACAATAAAGAGTTTTAATGTTTGATGGTTTGATGCATTAGTCTAAGGCAGTGTGACCAGCGATGCGAATCATATTATGCTAGGACTAAAATACACACACCTAAATACTTTAACACCCCCCCTAAATACTTCACACCCTCAAATACACTTATTTTGTGTCAGCTGGCGCTCCATGGATAACGCCAAGATTTTCCCGACGGGGGGGGGGGGTGTCGATGTACCCGACGAAAAAGTAGACGTGGTCGGGCGTCGCTCAAAAACTTATAAAGTGTTCCAGGGGACCCCGAAAATATGACAATCTGGGGTTTCAAAGGCTTATTCGAGCCGATTTCAGAGTCCACCAATATGTAAAAAACACATACAGTATAGATTTTTGTGTTTTTCCCGATGAGTTGTGGTTTTTCTCCCCGACGAAGTGGGAAAGCTCTTCCCGACGGGGTCCTGGGCCCCAGGCCCGGGGTGCCACCTAAGTGGCACTCCTATACCCAATCATGAAGCCCCAATTTACCTTCTGATTTCGTAAACTACACATTTTTCCTTGATTCTTAAAATGGGGATCGATCACTATGTGACACGTGTTACCCTGTATAAACAATTTCATATAGGATGGACGCCACTGGTCACGAGAGTCCTGACCCATACCCCTCAAATTTATTTAAAAAAAATAAAAAATAAAAATAAATAAATAAAATTGGAAAACCAAAAGTTACTTGAGTAAACATACCGTCATTAGATTGAATTTTGCTTTGTTCATTACCCATACTTTAATCTCACCGACTTCTCTGCTGGATTGTTGACCCTGCTAACGGCAAATGTCTAAAGCACAACTGCTGGGAGTTCATCCTACTGGTCCTATTTTCCGTAATGAAACCTAAATCCTGGATTCCATAAATTCGCTAAAAAGGTTTTACCGACTGACTCGGGGACAATTAGACAATGTAGCAAATGTAGTGAAAACACGGTGATATGTATAGCGACAGTGTGCCTACCAGGTGTGGATTTGGGGGGGGGAGTTGCCGGCCCCGCCCCGCCCCTCCCCTTTTGGGTGGTAAAACAAAGAAATAAAAAAGAACAAAAGGAAGAAATGGAAAAAAATTGATAGCCCAGAACTACTCATGTTATTTTTTTGGCGTCTAGAACACAAAAATGTCGTGGGGGAATTCCCCGGATCTCCTAGGATAGTGTTATCTCGATCGGCCAACTTTCGGTTCCCCCTTTCGGACATCTCTGGATCCGCCCCTGCCTACTGTAGTGATCTTTATTGCAGCCAGGACATTTGAAATGGTAGACAACAGAGCTACGGTAATCTTTGGGCATTAAGTCTTTAGTTCAAACAAAGCTGAAAGTTTTCATAGATTGCCAAATTGAATTTCTTCTACACAATGGATTGTCCCCCTTTACCAGTATATTGTAGTCTACTGCATAGCCTTAAACGTAATTTAACTAAAACAACACAGTAAGAGACAAAAGTAAGAGACATCTAGTTAAGGATGCTAAATTCATAACAATTTGGCAATCTAAGAAAACTTTGAACTTTGTTTCAACTGAAGACTTTAACGCCCAAAGAATACCGTAGTTATGTTGTCTACCATTTCAAATGTCTTTGCTGCAATAAAGATTATATTGGGAAAACAGACAGGTGGTATTGGGGAAACAGACAGGTCTAACAATTAGTACTGTAGTGATTTTATGGAAATCAGGCTTAACGCTCCCGCCCTCAACCCCCTCAACATGGGCTGTGACGAGGATGATACGTGCAGGAAATCACCGAAATCCGGCAGTAGCGTGACGCAGGACTGCAAATTCATGGCTCCATATTAAATTTGAGAGAATTTTTGGAGATTTCAAACTGGTTATTACTTGAGAAAACCAACTGTATTATCAAAATGGATCAGCATAAAAGGTAAAACTTATTAATATAATAAAATTCTAACTTGATAATCGGAAAATTAAGCCAAAATTGTGCTATATAATCCTACAGACAGCAGGAAAATGGCGGCGGAGACCAAAAATATACAATTTTTAAAATGTTTATACATCATTACTAGCCTAGCTGGGCTAGAAAGAAGTAGTAGTAGTAGTACTACTACTAGCCTATGTTTACCAAATAGAACCAGGCATTATTTAATTATTAAGGCCCCGTCCCACTCTCAGGATATCCATTGAAAAATCAGTAGGCTAAAAATAGTATTTATGAAATGGAGGCCAGGCATTCCCTGTCGTTCGTGTATGTAGCGGTCATTTTAGGCCTTCCTCAACAGGATTATTAAAATGAAATCTATTGAACATGCGCACATTGGCGTATGCCTAAGCGGTCGATTTTAGTGATTTTATGACTAGGCCTAGGGGGCCTAGGGTGCTGATCACAATGGAAGTGTTTAATTCCACTGTACTTAATAAAAATTAAGTTTAAAAATTTCACCCTATCAACCATGTTAAAAATGTGACCATTATTTTTGTCCAACCCAAAGTCCAACCTACATACACCTCCAAAAAATTGAATGCTATCAATTCAATTTTGAATACAGAAAAAACTGTTAACCAGGGAGTTGCATTTATTCTATTTTCTAGACTCATTCCAGAGTCTAGAGAGGACCGAAAATAGAAGTAAAATATTTAGAACTTTTCAAAAAACAAAACAAACAGAAAAACAAACAAAATTAACAAACAAACAAACAGAAAATTATTAACTCAAATTTATGATGAGTGATTTGTAAATTATAAACCATGATTTAAATGTCAACATTTTTAATTAAGCTTATGGATGAAGGTAGAATTTTTTTTTAAAATTGAAAATAAAAGTAGCAACTTGGACTCAATGAATATCATTAACTTTTTTAAGTGCTGATGGTGTTTGATAAGATGAGATGGTGTTTGATAAGATGAGAAAGTAATGGCAAGATTAATGAAATAAGAATATGCCGAGGAAAATATTTTTGAAATTTAAATAATGGATTTAATGGAATGGTATGCAACAAAGAAAACATTTTTAAAACATTGACTGCCAGACCTTTTTTATTGTTCCAGGCACCTTCGACTAGTTCGCGAAGGTCAGGGTGAGAAATAAAAATAAAATGTCCCGACTATTTTTCAAACAAACGTATTACATTCCTTGTCACTTATTTTGAACATTACCATTAGGACATTGTTTAAATCCACACTAACCGATATCTTACACAGTCTACTTCGTGAATACTTACCTGGATAAATCAACAAATTGCCTATTCTTTCTCACACATGAGAACACCCCTCGAAAAATAATAGAACAATCGACTACTGGCGCCAAGCTCAAGTGGCCCTGCCACCATGCAACTTCCTCATTCTTTTTCGAGTCATGAAAATGAACACCTCAGAAGGATTTTCGATTGTGGATTTACAATTGATATTATTTTTGGATTGATATTATTTACATTTATCAAGATCTTCTTTAGATTTTACAGCATCCTGTTTGCTGTGCTACGGATTTACTGTGTACTGTAGTCACCATGACCAGCAAATCAGAATGTCCGATCTGTCGTGGCCCTAGGCCCAGTTCAAAAGTGGACAATCATAAAGCTTGTCCAGCTTGTAGGGAGTGCAATGCTGAATCTCCTTGCGAGATTTGCGTGAGATAGGGCCATCTTGATTTTTGGTCATCCAGGCTGGCTGACTGACCATTTGTTTGGGGCTCCGGCAGATGCAGAAGTGACTTCTGAAGATTTGCCTCCACGATAGAAAGGTCCATAAAACATACAGATGTTTTAATAATTAAAACAATATTTTATTAAACAGAAGAATGCCAAAGATTATAATAATTTGGTTTTTATCGAAGGTAATTTCAGCTACTGTAATTCTACTGTAATTTGAAATGCAAATTCAGTTTACAGTTAAACTCATCTAAGCTGAGTGTGCCTAAGTCGAAAAATTTTCAAAGTCAAAATCACAGTAAAACTTCAATTATTTTAAGCTGTTGCCACTTTACCAACATCGTTGTGAACGTCAACAAGTGACTCGTATTTGGCAATGCAGAAATTCACACGCTAAGTAAGCCCGGCAAGTGACTCGTGTTTACATTACATAGCGGTACTTTGTGTAGTTTATTTTACATGCAAATCAACTCACATTCACTATTGTTCGGGCATGTGGTAAAGTCGGCAAGCGACTAATGTTTAAGCATTGTTTCTGGTAAGACCTAACCCTCCAAGTCAAGTTGCTATTGTGGTATAACTCAAATAAAATTTGACTTTGCTTTAGTCGAATTCATTCTATGACAAACTATTTTTCAGTGGCACTTTAAATTCGACTTAAATTTGAGGGTTTGACTGTATTTATTATATGAAATCAGTAAAATGTAATTAAAGAACATTCTTTTTCTTAAATATTTACCTTTTGTTGCATGGATGTACTGTAGCATGAATAGAGTTGACTTATACCCCTTTCAGACAGACCCGCAAAACGGTATTAATACTGTATTTCTCGAACGCCGGCGTTCTATGTGAAAGGGTAAATACTCCTAAACGCCGGCTTCAGTTAGACCTCCTCGGGACCTAGTCTTAATACTGCATTAATACCGTAGCGAGTTTTGCCCAACTCGATGTTAAAGGGTACAGGGTTCATCGCCGTCTTACGCACTGAGGCATAACAAATACGCGAGCAGCCATCAAACGCTGCTGCAGCTAACAAAGCCGATGAAATCGCTAGCTGATGGTTCTTTTAGACATGAAAATTGGCTGCACCTAGCTGCTTGAAATTCAAGCCGGCCTTGCCTTAAACGCTTCCCTTGATTGAAACGCATTAGAAACCTTCTGATTCTCAATTTATATGTATTGCAAACATAGCAAGCATTAAAAACATTTGCAAAGCAGCAGTTTTATGACATCGTCCCCAGCCATATTGGATTAATGGAGTAAACAAAAACTTGCGCCCTCTTTGTTAACAAGCACAAGCGACACAGACATCAAATACTCCTTTCCGCGAGAACCCTTTCAGACAGGATACGGTATTGTTACCGTATTTTAACTAGCTGTGTGAAAGGGTCTGCGCCGGCAATAACAGCGGTGTAATTAGGGTATTATTGTGGTATTTTCTGTCTGAAAGGGGTTTAAGAGTTAAAAAGGGTGCATGTTATGGTGTAGATTAAAATCCTATAAGAAAGTACACAAAAAAATAATGTTTCATTCAACAGGTATAAAAGAATCAAGGTGGGTTTTTGTGTGGGAGCTTACATAGCTTTCTGGGTTAAAATCCTGTTTACTGCCAATAGACCACACCATTTAGATAAAGTATTTTGTCTGTTGGATGACGTCAGAACGTCAGCCTTTAATATTTAAATATTAAGTATATATCAGTTTATTCACATACATATCTGCTGAGGTGACGTGAGTGGCAATCGAGGACAGTCCAAAGGGAGCGAAATTATGGTTGAGGGGACAGAATTTTGGGGTGTTTTCTTAGCTTGTTTGGGGGTCCAGGAAGCTTTGCAGTTATTTTAATTTCTCATCTAAATGATTTTGCACCTCCATGGATCTGTCACATCAGTTCCTCCATTGTCTCATGAATGTACAGAAGATGTCATTGTAGCCAATAACACGGCGGTGTTCGAAATAATAATACAGTAATTTCTTATGGACTACACTTTTTCATCAGTGGCATTATAAGCAAAATTCTACAGTATTTAATATTCTAAAATCCATTCCTAAATTCCTTGTGCATATGAATATGAAAAAATGTACTGCATGTTTTTTGGTAGAATCTAGCTGCCTACCACCTCTACATGTAAACACCGTGATCACTTGCTACATGAAAGGGGATTTTTGTTGATTATTTTAACACCAAGGCATGAACAAACAGGAGTATACTGTACATACTTGGACTATAGCCAAAAAAAAGAGGCCCAAACTGTATAGTAGCGTATCAATTTTCAGTTTTTGCAAAAAAGAGGTCTGGCTCCAAGTAGAGGGCCCAGTGGGGCATGGGGAAAACCTCGCTTAGACGATTCACAGTTTGAAACTATTCAGTTGTAGTTGATTTACAGACAACAAAAAACCTTAGTCTGTCAACCAACACAAAAAAATAAGTGAAATCCTCGCATCCTTTTCCCATGGGTTGGTTCCCAAAATAAACCCCTTAATGACTTTCTTTTTACTTCCGTAGCAATGTCCAGCAAATGCTAACCTCTGTGCCCTCAAAGTTCTTGATACAGTGAGAGTATCTTCATACAGATCTTTATTTGTAATATATTGTTTATAGTTGAAATTCAAGGCGTGTCTGAGTAATCTTGTACAGTATAACAACCATCAAGTCCTCTCTCTCAAGAATATGAGGAATATGTGTTTTAAAACCGTAGGTCACCTGAGCTGGGGGAATCCTCCATGCAGTGGCGGATTCAAGGGGAACCAAATCGGCCTGGGCCCTCGTAAAAGTTTCTATATTGTTCGTAAAAGAATGGAGAAAAAAACTGAAAATTATATTCAAATCTTGAGAGTGTCATTTCCGGCCTTCTAGAGGCTAGGTAATCTTAATTTTTCTTGCCTCAGCCCCAACCATGGTAGGTCTGAGGCGTTTGTCTGTGCCTGGGTTCCCATGTGCCAAAACAATTTCACATGTTTGTACAAACATACTTTTTGGAAATTTTTATCTACTGTAGTCATTACTGTATCATCAAAATGATGTGTCTAATAAATTGGCGGGAAAATATTAGTTGGAGGGGTGGAGGCCGAGTAAACTCATCGACGGCACTGTGATAGCACTTTTTATTGACTATGCCAAATGCGAGTTATCTCGTCTGCTTTTGCATGGGTTGGTATATGTTCAAAGGGCGCCCCCACTTGTGCCGCTCGTGTGTACTACCGACAACAAACATACAGACGTCATTTGTATGTTATCGTCTAAGTGTATCTTCCCTGAACTACCAGCCGTTGAGTCTTTGGTTCTACAATATAACAAAGAAGTTATAGTATACTCATCCCTGGCGCCCTCGGCAACACCCTGTGGGCAAGTATACTCATTGCTGGCAGCCAACGTGTTAAATGCATAACAATTTAAACATGATTTACAATTTGAGGTGATTGATACTGATAAAAAATGTGAACCTGAGAGTGCCATTTCCAGGGGTGTAGACTCTAACTAATCGGTCGGAAAAAGTCTTGCACCACTGCTGTGAATATTAAACTGTGGAGAGATTATTGAGAAAGGAAGGATGTACACAAAACCTAAAATTCAGTGCATCCAGTCAGTGCTAAATTTGTAATTATTAACATAATGCCCACTAGTGTTTGATGTAATAGGATTTAACTTAATTACGAGTTTCCTAACAAGATGAAGGTGGCAAATTAACTAAAGCAGCAGCAGAACCAACAATGAGTAAAGCAACTGAGATAGGTCTTTTGTAAAACTAATAATTATTGTAATAATCATGATCATTATCATTTAAGAATTAAGGTTTGTATATTCAATACACAGTTAAAACATTTCCTTTGGAATGTACTTGTTTGGGTATGCAGTGCATACCTTGATGATCATTCACTAGGAATTGTGAATATCCAAAAAATCACTGTAATGCAAGGATGACAATTTTTCTAATTTTTATATCGAGATAATATTCACTGTAAGATGCAAAGTAAAATGCTTTTCAACAATTGCATATTATTAGAAATTACCAGTTATGTCAGTATTTAGTATTCATGTATTACTTTAGTTTTTAATTTTTATTTACATACTGGTAGTTTATTATTGATTTACTTTTATGGATATATTGATTTATGTTTAATTCAAGATTTTTTTGTTGTTACAGGACGTCATATATTTACCGGTTGCAAGTTGGCACATTCCACTGTCAATGTTAATAGTGATAAGGTAATTATATTAGTACTTATCACAGTCTTGAATACAATAGTCACTAGTCATTGTTTTGTTGGAGTTTTCTTAAAGCAGCCAGCTTTACACCCACACACAAGAATTGTAATTGTATTTAAGATTATCAAGATAAGATATAGGATATTAAAAGAAAATTTGTTTCTGCGCTATTGTGAAAATGGAACTGCACCTTTTCTGAAAAATTCAAGTGATAATAATCTTTTTGCTCTGACCAAACGTTTTCTTGCATTATTTATTGAGTTCACTCAAAAAACAAACTGAATTAAATTAGTGGCTGTTTATATTTTGGAGGGTAAATTATATAGTTTTGTCTTCGATAATGACAGCTGAAAACAGTCATTCTAAAGTTCGTAGCTTACTAAGTTATGCACAGTCATTGGATGAGCATGACATTGAAGCAGATTGTGTAGGATTTCAGCGATCACATAGCCTCTCAGGTGTTCAGGGTACAGACCTTTTTGATGGTGTAGATGATGTGGATGCAGGTTTAACATCATTACATAGTGTTGATGGAATCGCTGTAATTACTTCAGGAGCTACAGCTAGTGTTTCAAACCCATGCCCCAATGAAGGAAAAAACAGACATCATGGCACTGAACGCAATTTATCTTCTGAAGTTGATCGTTTAGCAACATTTAAGAAATGGCCACATTCATCTCCAATGAATCCAAGCACTCTCGCAAGAGCTGGATTCTTCTACACTGGTTCTGATGACATGGTGAAGTGCTTCTCTTGTAATGGTAAAATCAAGGATTGGGAGTTTGGTGATTCAGCAGTTGGAGAGCATAAACGATTCTTTCCGAAGTGCAAGTTTATTCAAGGAAAAGACCATCAGAATCAACCAATGTTGCAGAACAAGGCATCATCATTACAAACTGTGCCTGTGGCAAAAGGCCAGTCATCAAAAGAAGATGATATTTTTAACCCAAAGAAGGATGCATTAACAATTGATAAAACAAAAATTCCAGATAAATTAAAAAGTGAATATCGGCGTCTGCTCACATTTCAAAACTGGCCACGCACAAACCCAATGCAACCTCGTGCATTGGCTAAAGCTGGTTTCTACTATACTCAGACAAGAGATATAGTAAAATGCTTTGCTTGTACTGGAGAAATATCAAATTGGAAAGTAATGGATGTTCCTATGACTCAACACACCATGCTCTTTCCAGAGTGCCCTTTTGTTCAAGGTGAGGATGTTGGCAATGAGAAACTGACCACTACAGATGTTATGAATGCCCAGCATGCAGTTGTTTATCGGGAACCTTCAACCAAACTGCCACCAACGAAAACTGAATCAAAGAATAAGAGTCAGGTATCACAAACAGCTAAAGTGACCGATCAGTGGGCATCCCTTCAAAGTCAGAGTGCAAGGAGACCACTGACTAGAGCTCAGCACCCTCAGTTTGGGAATGAAGCAGAAAGACTGAAGACGTTCACATATTGGCCAAGCAGTGCACCTGAGGCACCACCACTTGCAAAAGCTGGGTTTTTCCATACAGGTATTTGTTGCACATTTTTTATATTAAAATTGAAATTATATTTAGTATATTGAAGAGAAACTGTTTATAGATGTGAAATGTTACAGATAAATTGTTTCAGTCATAGTATATAGTGTTTTTTCTTCAGTGGAGTTATATTTTTAAAATATTTTCAGGAGAAAATGACAATGTAAAATGTTTTTACTGCAATGGAGGACTAAGAAACTGGGAACCTTGTGATGATCCATGGACAGAACATGCCAAGTGGTTTCCAAAATGTGATTGGTTGCTTCAGCAACGTGGAGAACCTTTCGTTCAATATGTCATCGCCAATTTCCCTGTACCAAATCAGAACCTGCCTTTACAGCCACCTGCACCACCTGTAAGATATAGGATGTATACAGATGTATACAAAAAAAAATTGGTTGGACAGGAATGCCAAAAAGTGAACTAAATCATTATGTATTGGCTCTTTAATGCCTATGATAACATTTATTAAATTATCATAAAATGGTCAACTAAAAATATTAAAATATATATATTTAAAAATATGTACAAGATCATCAATGAAATCAGTCAAAAGTTATTAGGATGAAAACATAAAAAACACCATATAAAAATTACAGCGTAAAACTAATGTTATAATGTTCAATTTGCAATGGTAAACTGTGAGACACGAAATATTAAATAGAATTATTGCTTTTGGTGTATAGATACCAAGCCCAGGATTTGATACCGTTCAAGGTACAGCTCGGCCATCTGTTAACCTTGATGCTCAACCTCCACCATCAGCAACCAACCAAACAGGTAGTTACAATGTTTTATTTGTATATGTATACATTAGTATTACTGCAGACTGTACTGGTACACATTTTTGTACAGTGTGCATTCTGATATACTAACACAATTATTTTTTGAGTGGTTTAAAATCGTGGACACTTGTACTTAGTTCAACATTTTTGTCTTTTAGATATCCAAAAAAGGATGGATTCACGAATTGTCAATTTTGTTGTTGAAATGGGTTTTCCTCAGCGAAAAATAAAGAGAATTATTGAGAGACAACTAAGCAGAAAAGAGGATGAATTTAATACCATTCAGAGTCTTGTTGACAGCGTACTTGCTGAGCCAGATGAGCCTGAAGATTACGAAGAAGAAGAACCAGTTGAAAATGCTACTGGTAGCAGTGATCTTAAAAGTAAAAAGACAGAGGATGATGATGAAGAATCAAAAGCTGCAGCTAAGACTAAGATGCTTGAATCATCAAATACAATGAACGAAAAATTTGCAAATTTGAATGTAGGTGGGGCTACACCGCAACCGAAATCCTCAGCCACTTCAACATTAGAAGATGGTACTTAAACATTATTTCAAGTTTTTCTTTTTGTTTTTTTTTTTTAATATTAAAGTCTATCGGCAATAGGTTGGTGTTTGTAGCACATATACTGGCTCTTTGACTCCTGATAACCTGAATTTAACTCGAAACATAACCAATGCCTTCTCTGTAAAAATCACATTAAACACGTTATATTTTCATTGCGGATTTTTTGGGCTCAGTACGGACTCCAAAAGTATGCATTTTCTTTTAGTATGCGGATTTTATAAGTCCGCAATGACGATATAACGTGTTATTAGCTAAAAATCTAAAATCTTGCATGCCTTATTGAAAATTGAAAAACATTTTGTATAAACCTTATTACAATTAAGAACTTATGTCTATGCTGTTTTAAAATGTTAACCTTATTTGTTTCCTTATGTTATATAGAAGCATCACTTCCAGCTTCAATCCAAGATGAGCTAAGAGTACTTCGTGACAAGAGGACTTGCAAGATCTGTATGGACAACGAAATCAATGTATTGTTTACACCATGTGGGCATTTGGTGGCCTGTGAACAGTGTGCACGCTCAATACAAATATGTCCGATTTGCAGAATGCCTATAAAAACTTGCATCAAAACATACCTGTCTTAAGGTTACTTTTTAATTAAGGTATTATCAATTTACACCAAGACTGCTGTTTAAAAGTTGTAATTTAGGTTGTAATTAAGATAATTGTGAAGGGTGCAATTTTTGTCAAATCTGCTTCAAGATTAGGCGTAGGTGTATTGGTTAAACAATACTCATTATTGTGAGAGCTCTTTTTTATGTAGGAAACAATAGAAACATTTAGGTAAAAGGACTAAAAAGTTTATGTTGGGTTTATGATGTTTTGAATATCTTAATTCATAAAACAAAACCATAAAAACTATAAAAAAATCATAAAACCAAACCATAAAAACTAAAAAAAGAACTCTTTGTATATGATACTTCACTAGCAGAATTACTAATTAGAACTTGCTCGTCTATGTTATTATTTTTTTTGTGGGGGGAAGGGGGTGGGGTAGTATTTTTAATTTCTAGTTTTCCATGGATTGAACAGTATTGTTGCCATATATACTGAAGAAGCAGCTGATCATTTGGAACCCTCAATCTGGTGTATTGGTAATTTTTTTCAGCAAATTTGTACAACTGTTAAAAACTGAAACTGTTGTAGGAAAGAGAACAATGGTATTCATGATAAAATCTTAATGAAGTGTAGCTTACCAGAAATGCATGGGTACAAATACCCATTGCTTACATACAAAAGCTACATTAAGAATTAAAAGATTTTTTTCTTAATTAATAAATTATTTTATTGTTATTATGTTATTTTGAATAATTATTGTTAGTATTAAAGAATTAGTACACATTTGCACATTTGTAACTTAGTACAAAGGAGATAGTGTGGTTATGTATAGTAATACCAAGTACTGATGCAGTCTCCACTGATAAATGTAGTTAAGGAGATACTGTACATAATAGTTGCAGGTACTGTGCTGTTGCATCCTAAAAATTAAGATTGTTTTCTAAATCAACTTTAGGTCTTTATCTTAGTCAAGTATATTGTCACCTTAAGATGGTTTTTTTTTTATTTTATTTTTTTTTTTGCATGTTTTTGTGGTATATATCTGTCTGTAGGCCTATTGCTATTAATTTTTACTGTAAGCAGCCCTGTGAGATTTTTGTACCTGTCGTTGTATGGTATACATTTTTTGGTGAGATAAATTATAAAGTATTTGCAGCACAGGTAATAATATGTTTTAATGAGGTTAATATAATTTAAAGAACTAGTTAGCTTGTTTTCCATGTTGTGTTGCAGTAGTACTTTTGTGTATTTGCATCTTACAGTTATAGTGTTTAGTGTGTAAGTGCCTGGGTGTTGTAAAAACAAGTTGAAGTTTGTGCACTGTATCTGATTAAAATTAATAAATGTATTTTTAAAAATTTAATATAATGTAGTAGTTATGTCTTGTGTTGCATAAGAAAAAATGCTTGCACTTTGTATATTATTTGGTAATTTTGATAATTTATCAAAATGTGCTTGGTAAGGTGCAATGTGCCAAATGTAACACATATTGTGATTTAATATATTTTCAAATTTGTTGATACTGTACAGTATTTCCTTGTAATTTTAACTACAGTATTTACACACTTATGTAGTGATGTAACCCCACTGCAACCATTTTCCCTTCAATTGTTTGCAACAATAAGTTCTAGTATTAATTGATTGTGTGAGCATTAGCATGTTTTCACTAAACTATACTTTGAATTTAATAATAATCAACATTTCATGTCCATCATTATTATTAAGTGCTGTTAATTGTATTATGACTGTAGTGCACTATATACAGTAATATTAAATATCAGGACCAGGATAGTGGAGTTGAATAAAAATAGAAGAATATAACCATTTTGTGAATAAAGATTGTATCTCTGTGTTCACATCAAACTGCTTTTTCAGTTGAAATACTGTAGAACTATTACATGCACAGCACAAGAAGAGAATAAAGCTGGTCTCACACAGTACGATTTTTAGTTATGACAAACTGTGCTATGATACGAGATGTTCATGTCTAAAATCATCATGTGCGTGGGAGTAGGGTAAAGATGTGAGAGGTATACGACACAGATAGTCATATGGTAGAGAATTTGAACATGTTAAAAACAAAATTGTCTTACAGTAAGTGTCGTGTTGCAGCTTGTGGTGCAGCTTATCATGAGCAAAATCGCAACATGTGAGACCGGCTTCACGGCACAATGACTTGGATTTATATGCAATTTTATTCAATTCAGATACAGTAAACATATATTTCTTCTAAATCAAATCAAACAATAAAATCAAGATGCTAAATTTTTTTAAAGCATAAAAAGAAAAGGGGGGGGGGGGGCAAGGGCAAGAAACGTTGAAAAAGACAGAATTCTCACTTGACACTTGCGGTGAGCGTGCCCTGAATAATATCAAAGCAATAGGCAAAAACCGTATACAGTATTACTCAAAACCTGTACAAAATAATAATAAAATGGATGGTGGTAGCACAATAAAATACGTAAAAGACGTGGAGCCCAAGGCGATACTTTTTTAATACAGTACAGTACCTTATTAAGTGCACCTTGGGTATTTTTTTAATCTTCAGCAGCAGGCGGGAAAAAAAATTTTTTTTAGTAAAATTGTTCTGCTAAGAGTACCTGGGTGGAGACGGGGAAAAAATAAAATTTTACTAGCGAATATTTTATTATATTCTTTTAATTAAAAGGAAGAAGATAAAGTTTACTTGCATTAAATATGGATGGTTTGATATACACTGAAAAATAGTGAAATACAAATACTGCAAAACAGTTGATTTTGTAGGCCTGCACAAAACACTAAATCTAAACATCAAAATTCCCTCGACGCAGGGTTCCCGGAACGCCGCCCTCAGCGGCGTGTGCGAAGCACAACACAGGCTCAGAAGTGGAACGTGAATTTGGATATG